AAAAAAAATCTTATGATAATTTTCGGCATGAGAGATTGCCAAAATTATTAACTTTTTATTTTCCGGCTGAACTCAGCGATTATAATAATAGCCTCAAAATAAGTGTGGAAAATCTGGTCTTTCAAGAACCAGAAATTAAAAAAAATGGTAAAGTAATTCCCGAGACCGAGGAAATGGCTCGGGTCGAGGACAAAACTTGAAATTACTTGGTTTCTGCGGACTGAAAAGTCACTTGAGACTTTCATAAAAAACAGGTTCCTTTACTCGAAAATGATTTAAAAAAAAGCATTATCCAGTGGATCGGAGAGAGTTTCAAAATCGGAAAATTCTCTTGTGAAAAAAAATCTTTTTCTGCTAAAGAGTTAAAATCTCTGTTAGTTCAAACCAAAAAAAAATTACAAGAATTAGAAAAACAGGAACCAACCAAAGCCTCCGAAACCATTATTTGGCACCTAACCAAAAAAATAAAAATGTTGTCGGAGGATCAATATCAGGTCTGGGAAATAAAAGAAAACAAGACCAAAAAAGCCGAAAAAAAATTAAAATTGTCGTTAGAAATCTTGGAATTGGAAGCAGAACAGATAGCCATCAGTTTTCACTGCGAACAAGAGCAAAAAATTGATTTTTGCCACTTGCCAAAAATGAACCCACAAGGAAATTTCATTATTAACGGCCACGACAAAGTGGTGGTTTTTCAGTCTGTCCGCGCTCCCTCAGTTTATTATTTTAGAGAAGAGGAAGAAGAAAAGTTCTGGGGAGAAATTATTCCTTTCAAAGGACCTTGAATTAATGTTTCTTACAGTGCTAAAAAGCCTCACTCCATTGAATTAAAATTTCTTAACTCGGGTCTTGTGGTCGACTGGTTGGCTGTTTTAAAGACTTTCGCCGTCTCTCCTGAAATTCTTCAGACCTTATTTAGCGAGGAGGATCTAAACATAGCCAATTATTCTGAAGTCCAAGCATTAGAAACTGGAGCAGGTCGAGCCAGTTTGCCACATTTTTTATTTACTGAAAGCAAAGGCACTTCTTATTTTAATATTGGAAAATTAGGACGGCGAAGATACAACCAAAAAATAGACCTTTTTCAACAATTAAGGGATCAAAAATTAGCCGAGGATCTACTGGATAAAAGCGGCCAAGTAATCCTGAAAAAAAATGCTGTTTTCAACGAAAAAAATCTAGCAAAATTAGCGAGTACTCTCCAAAAGAAAAAAATTAATAGTTTTTCTGTTCCACGTTCGACCAATGACTTATATGTCGTTAAAGTAAAATCGCCACGTCAACCGGAAAAAATTATCCCAGTGGTAGGAATTGGCGAAAAATTGTCGGAGGCAAAAACCTATTTTGACTTGGCCGACCTAATTTGTGCCGTTTCTTATTACGTCAATTTGCATCATGGTTTAGGCAAAACCGAAAAAAAAGAAGATGAGGACAAACTAGAAAATCAGGTTATTCGGCGGGTCGGTGACCTAGTTTACAACATTTTTGATAATAAATTGGGGGGATTTTTACAAGAAATTGGTGACAAATACTTAACTAATTATCTTTCTCAATTAAAAAAAGTCGACTTTGCCAAAATACCTAATTTAAAAGATTTTGATGCTCTTGTCAGACACTTTTTCAACACCTCGTCTTTGGTTCGATTACAAAATCAAAGCAATTTCTTGTCGGTTATTTCCGACGGGCTAGTATCCAGCGTAATGGGATTAGGAGGTCGTAATGCGGTTAATGCCACCTTGTCTGCTCGTAATGTAGATGCCTCTTTTATCGGTCGTTATGACCCGAATGAAACTCCCGAAGGTCGCAATACGGGCTTGGTACGTCGTATAACTATCGGTGCCGAAATAAATGAGGACGGGCAATTAACAACTCCTTATTTTCCTGTCCAGAACGGTGTAATTATTCCTAAACCAGTTCACTTAACCAGCGAAGAAGAAAAAGACAAATATATCGCCCATTTTAATACTAAAATTGACGAAAAAAATAGGATTGTTGAAGAAACGGTAATGGCTATTCACCAAGAGAATTTCGTCCGCGTACCTAAAGAGAAAATAAATCTCATTTACAGTTCTTTTTATCACTTAAACTCCGTAACTGGTGCCACTATTCCTTTTTTTAACCACAACGACGCTACTCGTATGCTTATGGCAACCAATATGCAGCGGCAAGCCATAACTTGCTTGAAAAATCAAGAGCCATTAATTGCTAGCGGAATCGAGGCTAACCTGTTAGAAAATTCCCCCTTGACCGTCAAGGCTGAGGAAAAAGGAGTAGTAGAATATGTGGATAGTCAGCAAATTATCCTTAAAAAGAACAAAAGTAAAAAAATTTATCCTTTAGAACAATTAGTAGTTTCCAACAAAAATACTTTGGGATTTTCTTTACCGCTAGTAAAAAAAGGCGAATCAGTCTCAAAAGGGCAAATTCTGGCTTGCGGAAATCAGGCTAGTAATGGCGAATTATCTTTGGGATATAATTTACGAGTGGCTTATTTGTGCTGAAATGGTTATAATTATGAGGATGCTATTATTTTGAGCGAAAGATTAGTCAAAGAGGATATTTTAACTTCCTTTTTTGTCAAAGTACATACTATTACACTTCACAACACCAAATATGGTCCAGAAATATTTACGGTCCCTCGCGCTGGGAAAAAACAATATCCTCACTTAGGAAAAAATGGCATGGTAAAAATTGGCAGCCGAGTGAAAGGTAATGAGGTCTTAGTAGGAAAAATAACTCCTGAACCTAGCCCTCATAAGGAGTCCGAAGAGGAATCATTGCTAATGAGTATTTTCGGGGAAAAAGCCCGGCGTTTTGTTGATTCCTCTCTCCGTTTGCCAGCCGAAGAAGCCGGTATAGTTTATGATATCAAAAGAAAAAAATTTCCCAAAACTAATAGAAGGAATTTAGAATTAGTCGAAGTTTATGTCGCCCAAAAAAGGAAAATCGAAGTGGGTGATAAGTTGACCACTCGTTTTGGCAACAAAGGAGTAGTAGCTAAAATTGTGTCGGAAGCCGACATGCCTTTTGACGAGCAAGGAAAACCTATCGACATAATTTTCAATCCCCTCGGCATTCCCACTCGTATGAATATCGGTCAATTATTAGAAACTGTTTTAGCTGCAGCAGCCCATAAACTTAACAGCAAATTGCTTTGCCGACCTTTCAACTCTCCCTCTCCGTCTGCCATCAAAGAAATCATCCAAGAAGCCGGCTTGGAAAATTATGGAGCCACAAAATTATTTAACGGCCAAAACGGCTTACCTTTTGAAAAAAACATTTACAACGGCTACATATATACTATTAAATTAAATCACATGGTTGCTGATAAATTCCACGCTCGGAATGTGGGTCCTTATTCACTCATTTATCAGCAGCCTGTCAAGGGTCGATCCCAAAATGGTGGTCAAAGATTTGGAGGAATGGAAGTCGATTGTGCATTATCCCATGGAGCATCCTATAACATTAGCGAAATATACGGCTCTAAATCGGACGATATTGCCAAACGAAATTTATCCCAATACTCCTTAGTATTTGATGACCGTCAAATTGACTTGCGCAGTAATAATTGTGAATCTTTCAACCTCGCCCTTCAAGGT